CTCCCCCCTCCCCCCCACATCCATCAGTCCTCAGTTTTTGTCAGCATTCAAGAGTCTCTCATGGTTTGCCTCTCTCCCTTTCCCCCACCATTTCCCCCCTTCTTCTCCCCCTTGGTCCTCCGTCAAGTTCCTCCTAATCCTCCTATACGTGCAAACATATGATATTTGTCCTTCTCTGCCTGACTTATTTCGCTCAGCATAACACCCTCAAGGTCCATCCATGTTGCTACACATGGCCAGATTTCATTGTTTCTCATTGCCATGTAGTATTCCATGGTATAGATAAACCACATCTTCTTGATCCATTCATCTGTTGATGGACACTTAGGCTCTTTCCATGTTTTAGCTATTGTGGAGAGTGCTGCTATGAACATTGGGGTACATGTGCTCATCGGGAGCTTATTTTGAAGTTGCTTGTATATAAGTACACTATGACTTCATTGTATATTTATTTGTCAGGTTTGTCTGGGCAGCTGCTAGAGTTAAAGGGATGAGAATAAAAGCCCCTGCATACATATACACATTCCCTCACTCCATCCTTACCACTCTTTGGATGACCGCCTAAAGGTTGGCTGAAGAAGTTGTGCCATTCTCCAGAAATTCTTGTAAAGAGCCGAGGAACTTAGCATCATTGGTGGTGTTTTGTGGCCGGGTATGAACAAGAGGAGGATCGTGGGGGCAGAGTCATACACGGCATGACAGAGTTAATGGAGGGCACATGAACCAGTACATTCACTGCCTAAACTACTGTTGTCCTGTAGGAAAATTCACTTGATGACGTTAAGAAGCTTGTTGAAATCTGTTTGCGAATCAGTCAAACTCAGAATTTCAAAACTCATTATCTCCCAAATATTAACATAATTTGCTCCCTTTATTTCCTTTAGATCTTTGTCAAGTATCACCTCAAAGAGGCTTCCTTGACCATTCTCTCATTCTATTTAAACTAGAATCTCTTGCACTCTTTCCCTTCATACTGCTTTTATTTTCCTTTACATTGCTTATCACCACCTGACATAATTTTATGTATTTACTTGTTTATTAACAGTCTCTCCCACAGGAATGTAATCTCTGAAAGGGGAAGGAATTTGTTTTGTTGGTCACTGTATGCCAAGCACCAGACAATAGCAGAACATAATAGATATTTGTTGATTGAATAAATGGGCATTTTCTTGAGTAATCAAAATTTCTTAAATTCTTTATATTCCAAATTCTCCCACAGATGGAAAGCATAGGCAACACCAGCTTGTTAATGAGTGGTTACTAAATGGAATTTATTTCATATCTATGAAATTTAAAAAATAAATAACTATGATAAAATAGAAGAAAATAGATCATTTGGTAAAAATCAAACATCCATACTCAAACGTTGTTATATTGAACAATATTTTTTACTCCCCAAGTTTTCTCCCTTGTTTCTCTTCATAAGACAAGGTAAGACCATTGCTTCTCAGTGCTTATGAGCTTGAAAACACACTTCTAACTTTTAGTGGGATGTTCATATGAATCAGAATTGCATATTAGCATATGAACTTGTTTCTTCCAAATAAATCAGTTGAAATGGGAACGCTAATTTATTTGAGTGAGGTTGTCATTACTGTTCTGAAAACACCAACCATCACAAATAGACAATAATAGCTTGAAATGTACTGATACAGAGTTTAATGTATTTCCAAAGTAATAAGGTTACTTACCCTATGAAATGTATAAAGGCAATAATATGGAATGGAATCATTTTGTGAGAATGAGGGACAGACACTCACCTTGGGAACCAAGATGGGCCAGTGAGACTCCTTCCCTGGAGATTTGGAATCAGGACTGAGAATTTCAACTGTCTTGAACTCTAGAGAGGGAGTTGTTGATGGTGGGTATTTTCTGTCCTGTGGCCTAGAGAACACAGACAGCTATTGTGCAAGAAGAGAGAAGAATGAAAACTTGGAGGGGAAGCAGAGACCCGGAATAGAGAACCTCTTTTGATTTCCCATTGGTGCTTGGGGCCCTGATCCTGCATCTCTGCTATTTTCCCCTTTTTTCTCTTTCTGTGTAGCTCAGCTGGGTCTCTATCAGTTGCCATGATTCCCTGAAATTTTTCAGAAAAACAAAGAAGGGGAGAAGTGTTATTTCTTCTCTTCTAGAGAAGCAGACATTGTTCAGCAGTATAAAAATATTTCTGATAAGAGGTTGAATCTAGAATGTTCAGAAAAGTATCAGTCTAATTTTCCTGTTAGCCTGGAGCCTGCTTCAGATTCTGTGTCTCCCTCTCTCTGCCCCTTCCCCACTAGTTGTCTGTCCTTCTATCTCTCAAAAATGAATAAGTATTAAAAACATTTTTAATTACCTCTCTACTTTTTAAAAGGTAATTAAATATTTGTGAAGTTTCTTTGTTAAGAAGAGTTTTAGAATGTCTTTTTCCTCTTATGCACAAATGAATAGCAAATCTTTGTTTTTTGGTTTCCTTATTCAAATAGGTGAGAGCTTTGTCTCATTAACTGGGACCAGTCAAGGTTGCAACTACTTCTCATTTCAAACTTTCCTTAATTGTTATCACTCAATTTATTTTCATTAAATAAATGAAATGAAATAAATTTTCATACTTTCCATCCCTTAGTACTGGGGAAAGTATTTTAATTCCATGGGTCTTTATTTCCTATTATTTCCCAAAGAATATTAAAAGACAAGGGTTTTCATATCTGTAGTATAAACTAGCTGCTTATCGGGATCCTAGGAGGCTGAGTATGAGTGCTACTTGAAGAAAAAATAATTTGATTTTCACAGTCTCTTAGAAGAGCATAAAATTCTGTAAAATTATTTTATCAGGAAAGCAGACTGGCTTTTGTGTACATATACAAATATTTATCTTATCTCATGTGCTTGAATGGTGTATCCTGGATTTTAGAGATCTGCTTCATTCCAGACTTGTTTGTTTGATACATAGCCCAGGCCTGACCAACACAAAGCAACCAAGGGAGCTAAGTTGCTGGTGAATTGAGGCCTTGTATCTTTGGTGAAAGTAGTCAAAGGTATCCCTTAAATGGAGGCTGCCTACAGTTTCTCAAATGCAAGTGTTGGGTTTTTGGGTTTTGTTTTGTTTTGTTTGCCATATTTATCCAAAGACTAGATTTTTGTCTTCTCCTTTCTTTATTACTCTTGGTCCATACTGGGTCATCTACCTCTTTTATCTTAGCCATGCAGTTAAAGCACAAAACTTTTATAATATATTTGAGGAAATCTCAGTGCACATATATACAAAAAGGTAATCTGATTCACAGAGTCTAATTTCTTCATTTTCTTCCAGTTCATATGGAGAAATCTCTTACTTTTCCTGATTTCTTATGAAGTGAGATTTCTTTCCTTCATTATTTTTCTAGGTTAACTTTTAGGTTCAGAATGAAGTTCATTTTATGGCAGCTTATAACATCCTGTATATGTACATATTTTAAGTCTCTTACTCATTGAAGCTTATTCTTAACCAGTCCCTATTTTTCTGGGGTGTATAGGCTCTGGACAATTCCCTTGATTTTTTCCTTTTTAAAAAGGAATATCCCAATTGTTGGAGCTTTAAAGCCACCTAGCTAGGGGATGGAGAAGCCATAATTCAAAGCCAGGCAGTCTTTCTTGAGCCTGGAATCTTAGTCATTGCAGTACCTCTACTAAAGAATGGACATGGGATGGGCATGAGGCAGAGGACTGAGGATAGGAGAGAGGTTCCAGTGCATTTATTCCAGACAAGTTCAGGGATCCTCTTGAGAGGAGGTGTGGTAATTTTAAAGGTCAGTTTTAAAATAACAAAACCAAAGGCAAGGTGGGTACGATGTTTGTTTCATCACTGTCTTCTAATAAGATTGTCTTGTAGTATTAATTGTGGAAAATACTATGATACCAATTCCAAATCTTCTTCATATTTTCTTCTTGTAGACTTTCAGGTCCATATGAAAATAAGATTCTTAGGTAATCTTTTTTTTTTTTTTTTTCTTTTCAGTTCCCAAGTAGAGCATGCAGATTGGTACCCTCTTCCCCCACTGGGCACATACCCATGAGTGCATGTGTGCACTCACTGCCACACCCCTTCATACACAAACAAATCCATTCTTTATATGACGTATGCTATAATTAGCTCTTTAAAAACTACCAACGTGCAAACTTCTCTCATTTTCATTTCTTTCCCTCCCAGGTCTTCCCAGTTCTTGCTTATTTACTCCAGTAATATTAACTTACTTGTTCTAGTCACAGTGCTTTGTAATAAACCACCTCCAGCTTAGTGGAGTGAAACAACAACAGTCACTTTATTATGCTTTCTGTGAGTCAGGCTCAGGGACTCTCATGCCAGTGACATCAGACAGTGACTGAAGTTTAAACAGTATTGGGGGCACTTTAGGGCTATAAAAGTGTGTTACACTTTTTTTTTACACCAGAGTGTTACAGCCAAAAAGACAGAAACTGGATCACCTTTAATGACATACCCTTAGAAATCATATAGTGTCACTTCAACCATATCCTTTTGATTATAAACAAGTCAGAAGCCTGCTCAGATCTGCTATCCCATTGCTTTCTGCCACGCCATTGGTGATAAGGCCATGATGGAATCAGGTCCAAAAGGAACCTCAACTAGTGACCTAGTCCAATCCTCTATTTCATACAATGGTTAATTACTCTCTGAAAAAAAATCTGTTATTTATATTGACTTTCTCTTCAAATTTCATTTTATTTAAATATGAACTCCAACAAATTTTGCACTTAATTTTATTTTTAAAAATCATATATGTTTTTGCAAAACTACTAAAAAAATCTCAATATATCAATTAATAATTACTTTCAAGGAGTTGACAGTTTAGATGAAACAGGATAACCATAAACACAGGAGAAGGACAAGCCCAGGCCCATACTATAAATAAGAGCTCAAGAAAAGGACAGTTTAGGAAATAGAAACGTCTACTTAAAGACCACATGAGGGTGGGTTTCTCATGATGAGATTAATGTTGGTGCTCCTTCTCTCTCTCCCTTAGCTCCCCAACCCCATATGAAGATACAGCAAGAAGAGACCATCCACAAACCATGGAATCTACCAAACTTGATCTTGGAATCCCCTGACTCCAGAACTGTAAGAAATAAATGTCTGTTGTTTAAGGCACCAGTCTACAGTATTTTGCTGGCTTGAATTGACTGACACTAAGGAAATTGAATATTTGGATTTAAAAATGCAGTTTCCCAGGGTGCCTGGGTGCCTCAGTCAGTTAAGCATCCGACTTTGGCTCAGTTCATGATCTTACAGTCTGTGGGTTCGAGCCCCATGTTGGGCTCTGTGCTGACACCTCAGAGCTTAGAGTCTGCTTCAGATTCTGTGTCTCCCTCTCTCTCTACCCCTCCCCTGCTCATGCTCTATCGCTGTCTCTCAAAAATAAACTTACAAAAATTTTTTTAATAAAAATAAAAATGCAGTTCCCCATAGGAAAATTGATTTCAATGATTCATTTCTGAGATGATGCCATTAACTGAATCCATAATGTAGTTGAATATTAAACATTTCATAACTTAAAAAAGTTACAATGTTGGTTTTTAAATAAAATGGATAAGGGGCGCCTGGATAGCTCAGTCGGTCAAACGCTAACTCTTGATTTTAGCTCAGGTCATGATCCCAGGTTCCTGTGATCTACCCCTCATGCCGGGTTCTGCATGAGGTGTGAAGCCTGCTTAAGAGTCTCCCTCTCTGCCCCTCCCCCACTCACACACGCGCGCAAACACACTCTCTATCAAAATAAATAAAACATTTATGTTTTTTAAATCAAACAGGTAAATAAAGCATTTGTCTATGAAACAGGAGTCCTGGGTTCAGTCCTCTGTTCCGCTCTTCTCTGTCTCTGTGAATCTGACCAAATCATTTTATCTCTCTGGCCCTCAATTTCTTCACTTGTAAAATGAAAGGGTAGGAGAGGTTGTGGGAAAAGTATATTTTAAAACGATTCCTTCCCATCCCATACCCACTAAAAGGAACTGAAAGAAGCCAATTAGAGAAGGGAACTTTATCCACACTGGACCTGAGAAATGCCTTAACCACATACCACAAACTCTGAAGAACATGATCACAAGCGAGCAGGGCAGCCAGCCTACGGTGCAGGGCGCTCGTATTCCTGCACATGTGCAAATCATGGACGTAAATTTGAGGCCCCTCCAACTCTGTTCAGTTTAGAAGAATGAGGGCTTCAAAGGATGGAATGTGGCCTTCAGGACAAACAGCATGCTCCTGCTTTGTGTCATTGCCCTGCTAAAGGTCTCCAGGAGACAATGGCATGTCCAGAAGTTCTATTTGGGATGGATGGGAGGCTGCAGTTTGGTTAGAAGGGGGGCCTTAGAGATGATTTTGCAAAGCACTTTATATCAGACTGAGAAAATGTCAAAGGTCAAGGTTAAAGAAGTGGGGAGAGAACACCTCTGAAATTATGGGGCTAACAATCCCTAGGTCCCTTTCTAGCTCTGCCATTGCCAAAACTAATAGGATAGGAGGAGAAAGCCTTCAATAAAGGAGATATTTATTTTTTCTTCTTAGAAGCTACTTGAAGGGCAGTAGTGGGAAATAATGCTGAAGCCCTAAGCTCAGAACAGCTGACAGCTTTGCCCTCCTTTGTGCCTTACTTGGTGTCCCTAGTGTAACAAGAGGAGTGGGGAATTAGGGCCATGCAAATCTAGCAGTTAATCCATTTCATGGTTAACTCCTGTCTAATGGACAGACAGGAGAGTTGTGCAGGTTTTGGCATCACTCAACACAATCACAACTGGTATTAGCAAAGAGTGAAGCCAAGTTCCAGCCCCGACAGGATCATCTCTTTGGCAAATGATTTGAGCAGCAGCATAGCTGTAATTCTTTACGGCTGTGACTGTAGTAGATGAAACTGGATACCACCTTACTACTGGTCATAAGAACTCTAGACACCCAGCTAAATCTTTGGTGATACCTGAGGAAACCGCAGATCTTGGCTGAAAGCTAAGATGAAAAACTTCTAGAAGACCCAAATGTTCATTTGAATATTGAGGAATTAAAGAGTTTGGTGGAACGTGTAGAACTCTACAGCCTTCTCATACATTGCTACTGGCAGCCTCTGGATACACTTCACTCTAAAATCCCAAATGACACCTCAGAGAAGCAAGATGTTTATTAAGCTACCCAACTATCATATTAATTGTTAATTGTATCTTGTTCTGCTTTCTTGTGTGTGTGTGCATGTACACATACAGACACACACACACACACACACACACACACACACACATAGTATTTTCCCTGGAATGTACAGGGTTCTGTTTATAAATACAAACTTCCAGGATTTAAATGTGATTGACGTGATAGAATGTCATGTAAATAAACCAATAGCACAACAATAGAGAAGTGAGACCTGCCAGAGACATGGCATCCCTAATTGTTGAGGGAGCCCATCCTAGCTACCAACATAGGCCTTCCTTTATGTATGAGAGCAGGGACTGTGGAGAAAAATGTAGAATCGGGAAGGAGGCCCAGCCAGACAATCAACAAGTGGCTCCCTATGAAATGGATTTTAGGTGGCAAACAGAGTAGCACCTTAAACAGAAGGATTAAGTTCATAATGGTCTCTGTGGCTCCTTCCGACTCTAATATCCTAGGACTAGATGGATAAGAAATCCTTATCGGGGCGCCTGGGTGGCTTAGTCGGTTAAGCATCCGACTTTCGCTTAGGTCATGATCTCGCGGTTCGTGGGTTCGAGCCCCGCGTCGGGCTCTGTGCTGACTGCCAGCTCAGAGCCTGGAGCCTGTTTCAGTCTGTGACTCCCTCTCTCTCTGACCCTCCCCTGCTCACGCTGTCTCTCTCTCTCTCCTAGAAATAAATAAAACATTAAAAAAAAAATTTAAAAAAAAAAAAAAAAGAAATCCTTATCTTGAATGTCGGTGCTTAGCAAAACATAGATTTAAGTGAAAGTGAATGAAGTGGTCAATAAGGACTTGATGATGATTCTGAGAGGGAATCTGAACAACTTTTAAACACATTAGAATCAAGTTTTCTGTTATCATTGCTTTGACCCCCCAATATTGAGACTCTTCTGCAGGAAGGCCAAGAGCATGATCCTCAAGGTGGTAGGCACATGGGAAGGACTCTTTTGAGTTTGCAAATGGAGCAAAGAATGTGGGAGTGAAATTTTCCTGTGAGTGAGTCAAGATTTGGAAGTGAAAAGAAAGACCAGTTAAAAATAGCGTGTAGGCCACCGCCTGCCCATCGCCCCCAGGAGGGTCCTCTGCTAAAGCCAAAGTAGGTCACAGTGGCTGCAGAGATGAGAAGGCTCTTGAGGCAGACGCTCCCATATCCTACCGGTGCTCACTCCCTTGGTGCCTTGCCCTCACTCTCCTCCATGTCCTGGTCCTGGAGCCCTACCAGAGAACGAAGAGTGATCCAGAAGGTGAAGTTGGCCGAGCAGACCAAGTGCTCCAACACACCCACCTGCCTGAAGGCCATGATGGAGCCTGCTCTAGGTGGCCTATAAGAACATCTTTAGGGATTTGAGGTGCCCCTGGAGAATCTTCTTGAACATGGAGCAGAAGACCAACACCTCTGATAAGAAGTTGCTACTGATTAAGAACTACTGGAAGAAAGTAGTGTCTGAACTGAGATCCATTTGAACCACTGTCCTGAAATTGTTGGAAAAGCACTTAACAGCCAATGCAACTATCCCAAAAAGAGAAGTCTTTTATCCGAAAACAGAGTTTACTTCTAGAAAACTTTGTTGCACATGATAAAGATTGAAAACAAACTATAGATAATTTTGGAGGAGCTTCCCAAAAGGCATTGATATAAACAAGAAGGAGATGCAACCACACACCCAATCCACCTTGGACTGACTCTTAACTTTTCTGGACTTTACTATGAGATTCTTAATAACCCAGAACTTGCCTGCACATGTTTGTTGCTGTCATTGTTGTTGTTTTATTGAAGTATTATTAACATATAGTGTTATATTAGTTTCAGGTGTGTAACATAATGATTTTGCATTTCTGTACATTACTCAGTGCTTATCATTGTAGGTTACTCTCAATCCTCCTATATGCCCCCCTATTTCCCCACCCACTTGCCCTCTGGCAGCCACCAGATTGGTCTTTGTGTTTAAGAGTCAGTTTTTTGGGGGCACCTGGGTGGCTCAGTTGGTTGAGTGACTCTTGATTTTGGCTCAGGTCATGATCCCAGGGTCGTGAGATTGAGCCCCATGTTGGGCTCTGCATTGAGTGTAGAGTCTCCTTAAGATTCTCTCTCTCTCTCTCTCTCTCTCTCTCTCTCTTCCTCTTTCCTTATCCCTCCCTCACTCTCTCTCTCTAACATAAATAAAATGAAGCCAAAATGTCCATTGACTGATGAATGGACAAAGAAGATGTGGTATATATGTACAATGGAATATTACTTGGTGATTAAAAAAAATGAAATCTTGCCATTTGCAAAAACATGGATGGAACTTGAGTGTATTATTCTGAGCAAGATAAGTCAGTCAAGAGAAAGATAAATATCATATGATTTCACTCATATGTGGAATTTAAGAAACGAAACATGAACATAGGGAAGGATAGGAAAAATAAGATAACAGACAGGCAGGCAAATCATAGGAAATTCTTAAATACTAAGAACAAACAGAGTTGTTGAAGGGAAGGAGAGTGGAGGGATGGGCTAAATGGGTGATGGGCATTAAGGAGGACACTTGTTGAGATGAACACTGGGTGTTGTATGTTAAGTGATGAATCATTAAATACTACTCCTGAAACCAATACTACACTATATGTTAACTAACTTAAATTTAATTTTTTAATGTTTATTTATTTTTGAGAGAGAGACAGAGTTCGAGTCGGGGAAGGCAGAGAGAGGGGAGATACTGAATCTGAAGCAGGCTGCAGGCTTGACCCAGAGCTCAAACCCCTGGAACTGTGAGATCATGAACTGAGCTGAATTCTGGTGCTTAACCAACTGAGCCAGCCAGGCACCTCTACTAACTTGAAGTTAAATAAAAAATAAAATGGAAAAAATGTTTTAAAAAGAGTTTTCTTTGTCTCTTTTCTTCTTTCTTTCTTTGGTATTTGTCTCTCTCTATTTTAC